TTCCCTTCGGAGAGTGCTGCCCCATCTGTCCCGACACCGATGGTACCGGCACCGGCCCCTGTCCCCCCTGTTCCCCTCGGCCTCGTCCTGCCACGGGCTGGTGGTCCCCTGGCTCAGCATCCTTCTCCTGGGTGGGGGCGCTATGGGGTGGTGGTCGCCCAGGGCTTCTCTAACCCCCTCCTCCTTTCTCCTGCAGCCTCTCCAGTCTACCCAGAAAGCGCTGGAGTAGAGGTAAGGGCCCCTGTGCCCCTCCAAACCACCTGACATCCCCTCCACCCTATTTTTGGAGAACACCTTTTCTAACCCCCCCATCTCATCTCTCCCCAACAGGGTCCTAAGGGAGACACCGGCCCCAGAGGAGACAGAGTGGGTATCACCTCCCCCTCTGGAGCTCCCCAGCTCTGACGGGACCCCCTGTCCTGCTGGGGCTCACCCTCCTCTTCTACCCCTCAGGGACTCCCTGGTCCCCCTGGCAGAGATGGCATCCCTGGACAGCCTGGCCTCCCGGGACCCCCAGGCCCTCCAGGTCCTCCAGGCCTTGGCGGAGTGAGTATGGGGGGGTCCCCAGTGGTGCAGCCCCCCATGGGGATGCCCATGCCCCGCTCACCCCCTGCTCTCCCTCCCGCCTGCAGAACTTCGCTCCTCAAATGTCCTATGGCTACGACGAGAAAGCTGGCGGCATGGCCGTGCCTGGCCCCATGGTGAGTACTGGGGGTCACAGGTCCCCAAGAGGGAACACGGGGGGACAGGGAAGGTGTGAAGCTGGAGGAGGAACAGGGAATTCTTCCTGTTCCCGATGCTGAGGATGCTGCTGAGTGGTAGGAGGTGGAGGGATGGGGAGGGATGATGGGCCTGGAGGGGATGGGGACAGGGATGGGGATGGGATGGGGACAGGGATGGGGACAGGGATGGGATGGTGATGGGGTGGCAGTGGGGACAGGGGTGTGTGGTGATGGGGTGGCAATGGTGTAGCAGCATGGACAGAGGTGGGGTGGCAGTGGGGACAGGGTTGGGTGATGATGGGGACAGCAATGGGATGGTAGTGATGGGTGACAATGGGTACAGCAGTGGGGTGGTGATGGGGACAGGGATGGGTGGTGATGGGGACAGGGATGGGGATAGGTGACATGCCAGCTGCTCATCACCACTTTCCATTCTACTTCCAGGGCCCAGCCGGTCCCCGTGGTCTCCCCGGCCCTCCCGGTGCTCCTGTGAGTATCTCCCTTCCTTCTCCTCCTTCTCCTCCTCCTCCCCAGGGAGGGAACCCCTCCAGGGTGGCAGGACACTGGGTGGGATCGGACAAGGACAGGACAGGGCATCCCACCCTTTCCAATGGCTAAGGGATTTTTTTCGCTCCCAATGCCCGCCATACTGGGAGGGTGACTCTGTCATTGCCAACAGAGTCTTCAAGCCCAAACGTCTCATTTTCTAACTCATTTTTTCCCTTTCTTTTAATTTTTTCCCACCAACTTGCAGGGTCCTCAAGGTTTCCAAGGTCCCCCTGGTGAACCTGGAGAGCCTGGTGCTTCTGTGAGTGCTGCCACCTCCCCAGCCTGGTGTCCCATGGGGACGGGGACAAGGATGCCTGTTCCCAGCCCTGGCCATGGCCATGTCATCCCCATGCCAGAGATCTCATCTGGGATCTGTGGGAATGGGGCTGCCAGAGCCTGGCACTGCCCAGCCCAGGTGACAGGGCACAGCTGCCACCCACAGCATCCTCATCCCTGCCCTGCATCTCTCCTAGGGTCCCATGGGTCCCCGTGGTCCAGCCGGCCCCCCTGGGAAGAACGGAGATGACGTAAGTGGTCACAGGAGGGGGTCTCCCCCCACCAGTTTGGGGTCTGGTGGCCCTGTCAGCCCCCAGGTGAGCAGGACAGGCTTGGGGACGTGCCACCAACCCTGTGTCCTTCTCCTTAGGGTGAAGCTGGAAAGCCTGGCCGTCCTGGAGAGCGTGGTCCTCCCGGCCCCCAGGTGAGATGCTCCCCACCCA